TTTTAAAAAATAATTCATATACTTTTAAAATATTAATATATTTTTTTAGAATAATTGATTGATTAAAAAATTGCTATTTAATAATTTAAAATAAATTTATTTATTTTAATTAATAAATTTATTAATTTAAAAAAATAAAAAAAAAATTTAAAAGGAACACTTTTATATTGATTTCAAAAAAAAGTTTTAAATAATTTATTTTTAACAAATTCGAAATCCTAAGTTAAGTTATCCTGGCGATCCTAAGCATCCACTTAGACCTGCTGGCTCATTCTATCACCGTATAATAAACTCAGAGGTTTAAAAGCCACTAAATCTTTGGCAAAGCTAAAAATGCGTTCCTCTAATATGAATTTCAGAAATTTTATAATAATTTATTCTCAACAGTTGATATTTTGGCTGTGATTCGAAAAGTAGGGCGTCTTCTTTTCAATTGTAGTTGCTTTATAGAATAAAAGATCTGCCAAGGTAGCAGTCCTACATGCCGTTGGGAAATTTTTTACTCAAAAATTATAGAACCTATTGATAAATTGTGTTGAAAAACCAATAATTAAACTCCTTGTTTAGGGTTGAATGTTTACAACGTTTGTGTCTTAATAGAAAATATCTATTGGATCATATATTTGGATAATACATTATTTTTTCGGAATCATTAATAGCAGTTTAATGGAATAGTGTCTTACAAAACTTTTCTTAAGGTTATGTTTAGGCTTAAGGATAAATTTGTTTATATTCTTCAAGCTTGTATTATCCTAAGGTATTTATTATAAGATATTTCCCTCTTCCAGCGATTTGGTTAATACTATATAAAAGGAATTTTTGTGATGATGTATTCCTGATTGATGAACTACACTTCCTTTCTTGGCTTCTGATATCAGTTTTTGATAATTCTCCCTAGTCCTTGAAAAGGGGCTTCCTGAAAATTAAACTCGATTCATTAACAACTAATAACTAATAATAATAATTAAATAATGCTTTATGAAAAATGTATTTTAATATATGTGTATTTTTTTTTTGTTCTGGAACTGGTGAACAGTCAATGAATAGTCAATTCATTACTTAATGAAATAAAAAGGAACACTGCAAAAATATATACTTAAATTAAAAGTCATTTTATTTATTTATATTTTTTTTATATTATTTACTTATTTATTTTATAATTTTTATTAAAATTTATGTACCTAGACCAACTTTTAATATTTACAACATTTGTATAAAATTATAATACATAAAATTATTTTATATTATTATTCTTTATACTCTCTAAGCTTTTTTTATAATTAATACTGATACTTTAAATCTTAAATTTTATTTTATTTTTTAAATTAGCTTGCCGTCTTTATGGCTTTATAGGTGGCCTCAGTGGTACCGCTTCAATTGGAACATTAACAGCCATTGCCATAGATCGTTACAATGTAGTTGTATATCCATTGGATCCGATACGTAAAAAATTTTTATTAAGAGCACATATTATCATATCAACGATTTGGATTTATAGTCTATTATTTTCGATAGTGCCAGCATTGGATATTGGCTTATCTGTTTATGTACCTGAAGGTTTTCTAACAACATGTAGTTTCGACTACTTAGATAAAGATACGAAAGCGCGTATATTTATGTTTGTATTTTTTATAGCTGCTTGGTGTATACCACTTATAACGATTTGTTACTCATACTTTTATATATTAAAAGTAGTTTGTGCAGCGAATCGCATACAATCGAGCAAGGATAAGAATAAGACTGAACAGAAACTGGCCATAATAGTCGTTTGTATAATCGGGTTGTGGTTTTTGGCTTGGACGCCATATTCAATTGTTGCTATGTTAGGTGTATTTGGTATGGAAGAATATATAACACCACTTGGTTCAATGATTCCAGCTTTGTTTTGTAAAACAGCGGCATGCATTGATCCATATATATATGCAGCAACACATCCACGATATCGTATGGAATTTCGTCGTTTATTTTATGGCGCGCGGGATTTACGACGATCATCCACGACACGTTCTTCGTATATGACAAGATCTACAAGGTCGTCACGTCGATTGCGTACAGTATGTGATATCGAATCAGTACGTAGTCGACCGCCAGAAAAATTTTAAAAATAATAATTTGAAGGCAGTACCCGAAGTATCGGAAGGAAAATGACTCTTGTGTAGCGGAAGAGTTAATTGAAATTAATGACATAATAGAACAAAGTAAATTTTAAATGTTTTTAGTATATGAAGAAAATACAATTGATTGAAGTACAAATGAAAGGCTAATTGAAAAGAGTAGAAAAAATATTGAAATAATTTTTTTTCGAATAAAAATCAATTAAAGTATTTGTTCTAAGAAATGAGAAATTTTTATTGTTTTTAGTCGATGAAATTTTTTATACTAAAATTTTTGAATAGAAAATTTTTGTACTCACAATTAAAGGTTATAAAATTTAATATTATAATATAAATAATTAACAGATTTATTGCATTTAAAAAAGATTTCACTTAAAATTAAATATTGTTGAGCATTTTTAAACAAAATATTCGTTTCTCGTGAGGGAAAAGCTGAAATTATTCTGTAGTAAGTAAAACTAAATACATCCTTATCCTTTCATTAAGACTTATTATATATAGTAAATACTTTTTTCTTGCCATTACTAGATTTTTTAATTTACTTGAAATAATTACAAAAACGTCAGTTATAATTATTGGAATTTCATAGTAAACAGAA